CGCTGAACAATCAAATGATTTCACAGGAAGCATTGAACAAGGCTTTGCTACACAGCAGACATTTAAGACTTATGTCAATAACTTATGTGGCACAGTTGCTTCGATAGAAAATCCCTTCCTGGAAGAGTCTCCTGAACTGATAACCCTTGATGAGCATCACTGTGTTGGTGGAGCTGTCGTAGCATCTATGGAATCAATGGAGAACACAGGAAAAGACAAATGTGAGAAGATTGTAAAGGATGTTTTTGTGGAAATTACAGAGTCAATTCACAGCCCGATCAAGAAGAATCACCTCCCTTTTTTCAAGAGATCACAAACAAAACCTCAGTCTAAATCAAGCAGCAAACAAATGACCTGAAATATGACTACAGTCTCTTCAGTCAGATGTTCATTGAATGTCAGTACGTCGATCTGATTTAAATCAATTCTTTTCTAATGAAAACCACCTGTGGCAACCATCCACATCAATTCATGGAAAACTTCATTTACCAAACTGCAAATCAGAGATCTTATATTGTCTTGCATCACCTGAGTATGACTCCTGACATTGATGCTAAAGTGTTTGATAGCGCCGCCATTGTGCACTGGATAGAGGTTATTCCTAAACGTTTGGTGATTTTCGTGTCTTCTCTTTTTACTATGGAGGAAGAGACAACTGGAGGACTGCCATCGTATCGACATTGTTTGGAACATCTACAAAGAAGGTAGCCTGAAGGAGATAACACGAGAAACGCGAACAAAATTAGGAAAATCCGGATACCAGACTCTGCCTTCATGTCAAAGATGCTTTGCAAAAAAGTGATTGAAACATCATGCTTAGCACTGTCGACACAGATGTTGTTGTCCAAACTGGTTGAACTAAAGTCTGCTGTTCACCTATGGGTGTCATTTGACAAGGGAAAAACTTCAGATATTTCAAGATCTGGGATGTCGAAGATACTAGTGGCGCTTCCCTTTTTCCACGAATTCACTGGTTCTGACACATCACAGTTCAGTGGAAAAGGCACAGCATCCATTCCAACTTGTGGACAAAGACTCAGCAGTGTTTCATCACTTGAACTATTCACATGCATCATGTCTGACAGCACTACATCAGTGAACATAGTCAACGAACTGCGACAAGAAATGTTCTGCCATGGCCGCAAGATCAAATGGAACCAGAACCTTCTTCCCACTCAGATGCTTTGCTACAGCACACAAACAGGAGCTTGTACCAGATCAGCATATGGCTTACTTCCAAGACAGAAACCACCAGAGCAAGATTTGTTTGGTTGGACAAGGGATGACAACACATATCGACAGTGTGGATGACACTGCCAGAAGTTTTACGGAGTTGTTGAGAACGTATCAAATGTGGCTGCAAATCTCAACCTCTATGCTCAAAGAAGTGCATTTGTATATCTTCTCAACTTCTAACCACATCGCCCTGTAACTGCAATGGGAACTGTTAAGGAAGACTTGAGTATCACAGAGATCGATCTTTGACAAAATGATGTTACGTGACTGATCAAAACAGTATTTTTTCATTAATTGGATGATGAAATCTATCTTTTACTACTCTAAATAAATCTTGTTTGTAAGATTTCTTGAAAGTATTACAAATAGCCCTTTGAACGGCGAATATATCTCACATATTGGAACAAAATGAAGATTTGTTATAGTCGGCGACCATTCTTGGTGGACTTCAGCACTCTTTGATTTTTGGTGGCCGTCTTGGATTTTTCGGTAAATAGGCCCCCAAAAGCGGGACCATCCCAAAAATATGTTTAATCATGATGTTCCCTAGCACTGTGCACGGTGTTCTGCTTTAATCCAGCGGGGTAAAGCCACGTAGTGTAAGAATTGGAAATCCTTGAAGTTTGGGCAGCCATCTTGGACACCATCTTGGATTATTCGGAAAATGGGCACAAAAAAATCGGAAACACCCCAAAAATATGTTTTAGCATTATGTTCTCTAGTACTGTGCAATATGTTCTGCTTTAATCCGGTGGGGAAAAGTCACGTAGTGTTACAATTGAAAATCCTTTATTTCCGTCAGCCATCTTGGATTTTTCGGAAAAGGCCCCTATGTTTTTATTGTGATATTCCCCAGCACTTTGCAAAGTTTCATGCTTTAGTCCGCCAAGTATCTAATTTCACCTTAAACCACTGCACTACTTGGCGTGGCTGTACCAGCAGGAAAAACTCTCGTCTCCCCTCGCAAAGTGAGTGAGGATCGTGGCGGTAGTAGCACGAATACGGTGATCACTTGATGATAGTACACATGAAGGTAGCTTGTGTGTTTTTCCCGACTGTTTGTGTACCGGGTTGAACCATTGTCTCAGAAACTGTCTCTTCGATTCTACCATAATCGATAGCAATCGTGATGAAGCTTAGCTGAGTAGGTAACGTAAGATGTAGATGGACAGAAAATTAGAAAGAAGAAGAAAATTAGGTTGCTTCATCATCAAACCGCCAAATGATTCCTTATCATCTCTGTGACTTTGCGTCAGTTTCTCTGTACATAACGGAGGCCAGGATCAGAATCAATGTTCACGATAATGTAGGTTTTTCCATGTTTTCATAACCTTGCCAGAAAGTTGAAGTCTGATGTCAAACTGAACCTTGTTAGCCAGTCCATGTGGTGTCTGAGTGTTCAAGTGTATAAACGAATATAGTTTCTGCCGATCTGAATCAAAGATCACTTCTTTGTGTTTTGTCTCACCCTTGCCATCATCCTTCAAATCGAGCGAGCATTGCCCTTTAAAAAGACTCGTTGAAATAGTTGAATATCGCAATTTTGATTATGTCAAAGTCTGTAACACTGCAACAGGGATTTTAAATGTTTTGAGACTCTGCCTAATATTCCCCAATACTCATGTCTTGTTTTGCTCACCTGTTTTGGGTCTGATAGCCATGTAGAAATGACTGAGCATTTCTACTTAAGCCACAGCGTCGAATCCTTCGAAAGTTATGTCTTGTTCCTTTCTGCTACCTATTCCCTATGTTTGTGAGCAGTTTTGTGTTAACTGGGATCAGTTAAGAACGTCTGGTAATATCTTACTAAGAATGTGCAGCGTTTAGTTACCAGTGGTACATAACAATGTATCATATATTTATACGTGTCTCATTTTTGTTGGGCAGACCATTGTATATATACTGAGTCAAAAAAGAAACTTCACAAAATGTAATTTGAAAAATAATGAATAGTTTTTCTCTGATGATACATCTTTGTATCCGAAATGAGATCCCTATCTTTCGACTCTAGAAAAACGTTAGCAAAACCCACTCAAACCCATCCATTCGTCGTGCAAATCACGTTAGTGCCAAATCAGGTTTTGCACGTGCAGTGATCTTCGCATCGAAGTTTTCTTCATATTCACGTGTCTGCATTGGCCTCAAGAATTGAAAAAACACTTTTCAACCACAGTTCTAACGGTACTTGAAATGCCACGATTGTCAAATGTGCAACGTGAACGTGCCGTTGGCATATTGCAAGCGGGAAGATCAGTTATTTACGTCGCAAGAGCAATGGGATGCAGCCGTCGTACTGTGTATGACTTGCGAGGTCGTCTACAACAAACTGGCACCACTTCTGATCGCCCAAGGTCGGGTCGTCCACGTGTGACGTCACGAGCAGAAGACCGTCAAATCATCATACGTCACCTACGTGACAGATTTCTGCCGGCTACACGAACCAGGGCTGAGATGTTTAGAGGTCGACTGTCCTCACAGACCATTCGAAATCGGTGGCGGGCTGCCAATCTCCATTCTCGACGTCCATATCGTGGGCCAATATTGACGCCGTTTCATCAACGTCAACGTCTGCTGTGGGCCCAACGTCACCTCCGATGGACCCAGAGAGAGACTGGAATCGAGTCGTCTTTAGCGATGAATCCAGGTTTACCCTCGGATTCGCGGACGGCAGGCATAGAGTCTGGAGACGACGTCGTGAACGGTACGCCCAATGTTGTGTACAGGAAGTCGACAGATTCGGGGGCGGAAGTTGCATGGTGTGGGGTGCTTTCTGTGGGAACAACCGTTCCCGACTTCTGGTCATCCGTGGAAACCTCACAGCTGCTGCTTACCGCGACCAGGTGCTCACCCCTGAACTCGTTCCTTTCATGGCGGCTCATGGCCCAGGTCTACAGTTCCAGCATGATAATGCTCGGCCGCATACCGCGATGTTGACACGAAATTTCCTTCAAAACGCTGGAATCAACGTCATGGACTGGCCATCGAGGTCCCTCGACCTTCATCCAATAGAGTACGTTTGGGATGCACTTGGGAGAAGGCTTCATGGTCTTAGGAACCAACCTCAGAATTTGCAGGAACTTGGCGCTGCCTTGCAAGAGCAATGGCGCAGAATCCCCAACCACGTGTTCACAAGCATCAGGCAGTCGATGAGGAGACGGTGTTTGGCAGTGGTGAATGCGCGGGGCGGCCATACACGATATTGAACTGAGAAATTTCGCATTTTTATTCTTGTGACTTGACATTCTGTATACCCATGTTTTGGAACGGCGGTGAAGCCTAATGGAACTGATTATGGCACTGTTAGTGTATCGAGTACATCACACAGATCTCAGCAATGAAATAATAACAATTTAACCATCTTACCATCTCTTTTTCTTTTATAGTGCCCTGAAGAAAGAATGTGAAGCTTCTTTTTTTTGACTCAGTATATATTACAATCTTGCATAAAGAAAGATGGGTTGATTCGAGATTAATAGGTCATTGTTTGTTTTCATTATAACGTAATCAGATTAACATGTATGTGTGCCCTATGTTGTTTAAAATTCAATGATTTCTCCATGGTCTGGTCGATAGAGCATCCAGCTGGAGAATGGCAGGTTTCTGGTTTACCAAAACACGTTAAAGGATGCTGTAAGCCTGCTAGTACAAGCATCCACAAACACCGTGTGAGCACGTCCCTATCTAACTGGCATGATCTTCAAAGCAACAATAAACAGTATTTCACCACACTACACCTCAACATTGTATTAGGCATCAATAGTCACCTTCCTCAGTCGAATATTTTCTTCCTGAAGACTGGCGATGATACCTGAGAAATAAAATAATAATATCATGTATGACATGTAGAACACAAAGTACTGTCGCTAACAGAATAGCGTATTGTAGACAAAGAAAATCATTATAAATTTTGTTGCAGAAAATATTAATCCATTTCATGTAAGAAATCAGTAAAAAGATTGCATGGAAGCATAAATAGTCAATCTAGCTTTTGGAAACAGATATGATCATTACAAAACAAATCCAAACAGACGAATCTTATAATGAAAACAGAATGGCTTTACCATTTTAAAAATGTTTTTGCAAATATCAATGTTTTTTCTCCTCACTTTGATGATGAACATGAAATCTTTTCAGATCAGTACACAGATATTGATGCATTCATTCTAAATTCTACTATATCTGAACATGAAATTACATCATTAATAAATAACTTAAAGAACGAAAAATTATGGTGTTGTTTGAGAAAACCTGGGCTACATGGAAATAATGTAAATATCCCCAAATCAATGAATTCAAACATCAAATTATGTGTACGTAGTGATTATGGTGTTACTGATTTTTTTGATTGCCCGTCCGGCTTACATCAGGTATGTATATTGATTTTTCTGATATTTTTGCTTTTCATTAGCGAATTTTGTATTATGAAATTTCAAGTAACGGTAAGCATGCTTTACAGATGTATCCTGACATCCTAGAAATCCGTATTCCCCTTTTTGCCGATGATGTTATTTTACTATCTCACACAGTTATTGGTCTACAGAATCAGTTGAATGTATCAGATAAATATACTAAGGAATGGAATTTATATGTAACTTTAGATAACACAGAAATTACAGCATTCAGAAAGGGGGCCCTTTAAAGGAAATATTGTACTTAACCGGACAACCAATTAATGTAGCTAATGGCTATAAGTATCTTGGTATACTGTTTAATTCAACACTAAATATGGACAAAATGTGTTTCTGATTTATCACTGCGAGGGAAACTAGCTTTACTTAATATGATGTCGGTTTCAGGTAAACCTTCAGTTAGCACATCTAATGTATTTTTCAAATTATTTGATACTCAAATACAGCCAATCCTGTTGTATTGATCCGAAGTGTGTGGTTACCAAAGATTTGATTGTTTAGAAAGAATTCACCTACTTGCATGTAAAAAGTTTCTTTATGTTGGATTAGCAGCTTCAAATAATATGATATATGTAGAATGTGGAACATACCCACTTTACATTAATTCACAAATGAAGTGTTTAAAATATTGGTTTAATACCATCCGTATGCCAGAACATCAGCTTCCGAAAATAGCTTATAACATGCTCTTTCATCTTGATAGTATCGGTATGGGTTTCACATATAAGGTCACTATTATTCTCACATGGATATGGTGTTGTATGGTTTAATCAATCTATATTTATTTCTAAACGATTTCGTAAAGCAGCAATTAATTTCAATCAAGGATGTCAATCCAAACAGTTCACGTTATGATCTGTACAAAACGTTTAATACTTTAATAGAGCCAGAAAAATATTTATCAGTTTTAACAAATGGTAACCTAAGAAATGTATATATTAAATACAGACTTGGCTTGTCGAAAGTAATGATTATTTATGCACGGAATATAGCACTTGAAAGAATACAAAGAATTTGTCCTTTATGTAACTCTGCTATAGAACACGAAATACATTTTACCTTTGAATGTCCTTATTATGCAGAAATACGAACTAAATATATACCAGAACGTTTCTCATCTAAGATAAGTAGAATAGGGTTTGTTTCTATTTTGCCATCGAATGATGCCGATGTAATATTTAAACTATCTTTATTTTTAAAACATGGAAGCCAAACATTGTGCATCTATACGGAAACTCACAATCACTGAAGCAGTTGGGATAATCAGTCGCCAAACAATGCACCCGATACAGTGTCTTATTAAACATACGAAAGAGAGAGGGAGGAAGTCTGGACAGTTGGACAAATACCCTCAAATGGGTGAGGTTACAAAGAGGCTTGGCTTTGGTAGGACTGAAAAACGATACCTAGACCAATTCGTTTCAATGCATTTAGTAACTGAACTATGTTTTATAGCAGTGTTCAGTAACGCGTATGACCACCATGAGCACAAATTCAAGCTTCTACACGTCTTCGCATTGACCAAATGAGCCTTTAAAGTTGCTGTGGTGGAATGTTTTGCCATTCTCTCTGTAACGCCTGCTCAAGGTGAACCAGAGTCTGGGATTGAACATGGAGCCGTAAACACGACTTCCAATAATGCCCCAAGCATATTCAATGGGATTAAAATCAATTGAACGTGCAGGCCAGTCCATATTCGTGATGTTGTTGATCTAAACAACATCGTTAACACCTCTTTCTCGGGCATTATCATCCATAAAAATGACGTTAGGACCTGCTTGTTGTGCCAGAGGAATGTTTACAGGTAGGTTTGCACCGACCAGGGTGCATGTGTGAAGAGTGGAGCAAATTCATGCCACACATTTTGTATGTTGTTTCTCAGGGTGGTTGTGTTCGGGTGATGTTGTCAATGTTATCAGATAAATCAATTTGACAGTCACTAAAGGTTAAGTATTCCTTAAATATTTACCTTTGAGTAACATGTCGGCAAAAATCGCTATCGAGATTGATAAAGATATTACACTGATAAATACGTGTTGCTTAATTTTTTTGTGAGGAGTATACTTTGTTAACTAGTAAAGGATTGTTATGTTTTGTTAAATAACCAAAAATAATATTTTCTTTGGATACTGGTACCGGGCTTGGCCTTTTTTACGATATCCGACTTTCCATGTCTCGCCATATAGAGCCTACCTTTCTGCAATATAGGATACAACGCGAGTGTGTTTTGTGATGGTTAATATCCTGCATTTGGAAAAAAAACATTGTATTTGGCGAGCCTTGGCTCGGTAAAACAATTTTCACAAGCTCCGTAACACAATTTTCAACAGATCACTCAATTGATTGCGACAGGTCATCCCGTTCCCAGTACGTTTTTTATAGGAGTTATTGTTGCCAATAAATTTTACGTTTGAAAAATAAACTCGTCTAGAACTTTAGAAACCTTCAACGGACCTTTTGAACAACAAATACACTTTACTGTTGACGTGACATGTTCTGCTCGCTAACACTGACAGTCGACCAGGGAAGAGGTGTCTTCATATGCATATGAATTTCTATCTTCGCTTCTTAATCCACTCCATCTATCATTACCAGACTTGGATTTTCTTGGATCAAAGCACTGACAGCGCCGTAACCTCGGCCGTCAATAGGGTCGGTGGGGTAGCCTAGTGGTTAAAGCGTTGGCTCGTCACGCCGAAGACCCGGGTTCGATTCCCCACATGGGCAGAATGTGTGAAGCCCATTTCTGGTGTCCCCCGCCGTGATATTGCTGGAATATTGCTAAAAGCGGCGTAAAACTAAACTCAGTCAGTCTGTCGGCCGTCAATCCGGACACGTTCGCGGCTTTATGGGCGTGACGCCATGTTTGGTGACACTGTGAAAGTAGTCCCTAAAGTTTGCATATGACCGCTCTAATTTGCATCGGTATCCGTACATGCCATAACGCATTCGTCACCACTCGCCCCGTTCCATAAACTCCAAGAAGACTCATCCCCGACTTGATGCTTGTTATGTGCGAAAATACGACAAATCAATCAGAACGCGCGTATTGAAGGCGGTGCTTTGATAAATATAATCCCGAATGCATAAATCGTTTATGGCATTATGTCATTGTGTTAAAAATCTTGAAAATATGTATCATAATATTGAAAGTACAAAGAATATAGGTAACATAATTGTTTAGGCTCATGTGTAAACTTTAGTAAAGATATTGCCATGGAAAGTGAGAGATTCAAATCCACGCACGTGCGTTTGTTTACATAACTGCTCTCATGGGTCCAATTGAGTGTATTTCCGACGATCTTGCGGGGTTGTTGTGGAGATTGTACGTGCGCTTTCAACAGTTTTAGGAAATGTAATCATAAATCGCTACGCGTTTCAAAACAATTATATTATATCTGTATGTAACTAATCAACTTTAATCTTTAACACTGGGCATATATTTCACATATCTGGGAATATTTTAGTCTGACTTGTTTTGATCATTCATATATTTTCAGCGAATTCATTTAAAATTCCACTTGGGGTATGACAGCAAGGTTACACGAATATTCAGTGTGAGAAATATTTTAAAGTCATTTTTGAGTATCTCCTTTGGGATTTAATTTAGCTGAGTTTTTAAAACTCTTATTTGCGCATTCAGTTGATAATAATTATGCTAGAATATTCCTTTAACAAATATGTCTCTTCTCTTTCTTTTAGTTGTATCAAAGACGTTTAATTCCTTAAAATGAATAGGTAAAAACCAAAACAGCAATACAATGTACGAGTGCTTCGGTGATATTAAGAACCAGTGGTATCAAACAGTTATAGAGTTATCGTTCTTGTTTAAAGTAGTTCTGATGTTCATGCGCCAATATGAAAACCTTACAGACGGGCACGAGTCGCTATTCGGCTTGTCCCGGTATGACACGAGTTGGTCACGAATGGCCCTAAAGGATACCGAAAATATCCGTTGGCTTTATCCTCCCAAGAACGCTATCCATTGTATGATAATACAATAATATCTTCTATTTCTGTAGATCAGTACGTAGTTAGGGCTTCAACGAGTCCATTTTCTTGGGCTCGAGTACTCGAGGGGCGAGACTCGACTCGGACCCGAGTACTCGAAATTCATACCTTTCAAGCAAACGATAACGTAACCGGCATCACGTGTTCCAGTCACAAAGTGAACACTTACATCATTCCGACTATATCGTCGTGTGACTAAAATTTCCTGTTGGTCAGAATCAGTATTTGGATGTTTACTTGCCAAATGTTGTTGTTTTTTATCGTACTGGTTGTACTGCCTGCATAACGCAGTGATATACCGCACAGGCGGCATTTGGTTATTTTTCTCTTTTCACTGTCCAGATCAAGATACGCCCATACATTTGATTTTTTATCGTACATTCTCCATGTCTATTAAGATAGTTACCTAATCATTTTAAGAAGTGAAATCTCACACGATGCATAATATTTACTCTCATCTGCAGACTTGTAACAACTAATACCATACAGCCACACCTTATGAGGGGTAAACTATTTAATTTAGGCGTTAATAAAAACATTATCATATGGGTTAAAGAATTCAGGGTACATAGAACTCAGTATGTCAGTGTCAATGGCTACCAATCTTCTTTTCTCTCAACGTCTACTGGATCTCCACAGGGCTGTGTTCCTTCATCCGTACTTTTCGTTTTGTATACCAATGATTGTTACTTGTCAATAAATGACTTGTTTACTGTGAAATTCGCAGATGACGCCACTGTTACTGGCCTAATTTCCCATTCTGAACATAATTATCGTCAAGGCATTGGCAAAACCGTAATGACAGTTTTTTATCAAATCTTTATTCAAAGTGTGTTGAGCTACAATTTTCTATGTTGGTATGGGGGTCTGTCTGATCGCAACAAAAACAAATTTTTCAAAATTGTTAATACTGCCAGCAAAATTGCTTGAGTGTCTTTCGAGTATATTCCCTTTATCTATGAGCGCCAGATTGTCAAAAACGCAACTAAAATTAGATTTGATAGTTAACACATTTTATCTCACCATTTTGAACTACTTCTTTCTGGACGCTGCTGTCGATTACCTTCCCTCAGAACAGAGCTCGACAGTCTTTCATACTATGCAAGTATTCGTGAATGCAACAAATACTTTGAATTGTCATTATGTGATTACAACTAGAATTATTCAGCCTCTTTACCTTTATGGTTAATTGAATTATATCATGTCAGTTTAATTGTGTAAACAGCTTTCGTTTTGTGCATGTACTTATTGTGTATATTTTTGTGAACTGTGTACATATTCATTTTGAGACAGTTTGGATGTATAGGATTTCCTTCAGGATAATAAAGTTATATCTTATCTAATATCAGACGTTAACGGCCGCTCATGCTTAGCACATGGCAGACAGACTATCTCTCAACGTAACCCAATAATTCGAGTTATCTCCCCTTTTCGAGTCCTCGAGTCCTAGAAAATAGACTCGAGTCCAGCTAAACCCGACTCGTCCTCGTACTCGAGTACTACGTAGTACTGTCCCGTGGCTTACACAAAATTAGCGTCTATGTGCGGTGGGGTTGGCCCAAAATGTTATGGCCAGGCAATTTGGTGTCCATCGAAACACGATCTCATCTCAATGGAGACGTTTACAACATAATGGGAACACGAGAGATTTGCCTCGGACCGGCCGTACACGCGTGACGTCACGTCAGCAAAGCAACCACATTCGGCTGACCCATCTAAGGAATCGATTCCAGACTGCCAGTTTGACTGCCCGGACCATTCCTGGCTTACGTACAATCAGGTTTGGGACTACGGGTACGGAACCGACTAAGGAAGCACAACATCCGGTCCCGACATCCTGCAATACGTCCACTTTGGCTCCAACGTCTTCGACAGGCACGTCTTGTCTGGTGCAGACAGCATCTACTGTCCAGGAGGCAAGACTGGGATGGTGTTTTGTTCATTTATGAGGCAAGGGTGTACGGACGGCGAGGTGAGCGGTATGCTCTCTATAAATAATGGTCGGACGCGACTTGTCATTGTTAATGTCTGCAATACAGGGATGAGATCATTGAGCCCTATGTGCAGATGTTCATTCAAGGACAGAGACGTAACTTTACGCTCGCTGGTGTTGTGAAAGATTTCCTGAGGCAGAAGAACATTCCGGTACTCAACTGGCCAGCTGTTGTTCCTATCCTGTCACCTATCGAAAGCGCTTTCTGGGGCAGGGAAAGCAAACGGACATTGAAAGTACGCCAGACACCCAGCAGGAGCTGGCCCAGCTTGTCTGTTTCGCATAAATGTGGTGGACATACTAGATATTGTTGAGCACTCCCAAAAGTGATATAACAGACATTTACCTTCACTGCATCATTGGCAGTGATTCTGTTATTTTTATTCTTTCATGTCGGACATACAAGTAATTAATTTACCTTTGCATGCAGTATAGCATATATCTACCTTGTCAATACGTGATACATAACGCCAGAGATCCAGCTGCTGGCTCAGTTTCAGGTAGATCTGCTGCCGGAATGGCGGCCAAGTGTGTCAAGGTGTGGTGTATGTTTCGAATAAACATGGTGAACATGTCAGATATTGTTGAACACTCCCCCAAAAGATATGACAGACATTTAAATCTCTAAATTGTTGGTGGTAGTACATCTTTTTAGTTGTTTCTTTTGCAACCGACCGGTACAATGCGTGTATACACCGTTGTACACGATGATTCTGTTACTATATATCTTTTAAGTAGAGTTTGTAACGTTTTCCACGGACATATAAGAAACTAATGTACCTTCGGATTCCGTATAGCATCTGTCTTGTCAATTCCTATGTAGCTGGCTAATCACAAATTAAAGATTCTGGCAATCATCAGTCAGGGAAATGTTAAACTGAACAATGAAATAATATTCAAGACTTCACTGTTACCTGCACAGCAATAATGCTGGGTACAGTCAGAAAGTATGTAAATTTACGAACAACTATAACAACACGACAATGGGACCATTATTAACATAAAATCTGTGTGACAACGACAATCAATCAATTTGCAACTTACCATGCTCTGGTTCAGCCATGGTCTGTGCAGCCCCTGAGGTCTGTTGTTCCACTTCATTTCCAACATGCTGTATGGGTGTATTACAAGCAGCATCATCTGCAATGCAACAGTAAAATAGATAAACTCGTGTGTAGTTCCAGTTTCCCATCGAGTCTCACTTGCATCCCCATCCCGTTCATACCGCCGCAACATTCTACACGACGATACCTATTTGGTACACTGCAGTATTCCTCCCTCCGGCCCCTTTCAAACTGCGGTAACATTTCACACGTATATATTACAAGTGAATGAGCGTCACTATTTACGCCTCTCATATCAAAACATTTTCAAGTGTATTTCAAATGCTGACGTTTTCTTCGCACGTTTACCCACGACACGTCTCACCAGGTATATGCAAAACATGACACTAGCAACCTAAGGACACGCTCTGGTGCCATGCATAAAGCGCATATGATATACTCGGGATAACCATTTTGAATATGTAGAAACATAATACGTTTCGATTCGTACCTCTGATTATCAGAGTTTTAGAACTGCTGTTAGCAATGCAGAGGTTTTGAATGTAGAATTAAACGTCATGTTTACAGCACTTTGTGAAATATAAGGGTTGGGAATTGTAGCCAGATGAAATTATTACTTTAGTTTTGCGGTCGACTGATTTTACATACACAATAATATATAAGTATAAATAGATATAGGAAAGTCAAAATTAAAATGTTGGCATAGATCCCTCTCTTTCAAAATCACTGCAAAACGGACATTCACATGTTCATCGTATGACACACTACTGGAATACAGTAACTGTGCTTTATTTTTAATGCAAAACGATAACATGATTGGCAGTGTTTTTCTTAATTACTGTTTAACTACTGACAAGATAATATCGAAATCTGTATGATTTGTCACTAGGCATCGTGACACGTCCTTGAAGAGATGTTGTGTCAAAAGTCACTGGTGTTGATGGAGGCTTGGCAACGACGCAGACAGGCAGACAGATTGTTTATTACGAGTCTCACCTCATACATTATACATTCAAAACATCGTAAAAAAGTAAAATGCATAAAATGAGCCATCCCTTATGTGATTATGAGAGACTATTTACAAATAGTAAACGCGCCGTTCCTTTAAAATAACAAAGCGGGTCTTGGCTGTTAATTTATATAAAATAGGACTAGACATTAAAAACGATAACTTTTCCACATCTGTAAACTTCATAAAATTACCATTTAAAACTATGCACTCAGCCAACAGACGTTTTGTAAAAGACTGATATAAAGGACAGTATTAAAGTACATGCATTTTCATCTCCAACAACATTTAAACAGTTAAAACACACTCTCTCATTTAAAGGCATATTACTGTAGCAAGCAGTTTCTATTAACAAGGGGGCAACACCGCATCTATACATGGCTATCGCTTATCTGTGGGCCTCGTGGGATATTATCAGTAATGTAGTGTTCCACTTCATAGTTCGTCTTAAAGGTTCTGTAGTGTCGACGTATATTACCTCCCTTGCCATCTCGACTAGTCGGGCAATCTATCTTCTTCCAGTTCTCATAACATATCTGTCGTACTGCACTCTGAACCTTGTGTATAACTTCCTTCAACTTCTTCGAAATCAGTCAAGTTTAGTGATGAAGCGTTTTATCCAGGTATTTTTCTTTCGTGATGCCATCTGTTTGGCCCAGTTAAAGATCTTAAAACTACGTCTTTCGGGGTTTAGGCTGTTGAGTCTGGTGTACGTTTTCATCACAGGAGCCCGGAGTTTCACTGGTGTCGGGGTCTAACCCATGTTCCCTTCCACCGCCTCGTTGGGGGGAGATTTCCGAACACCCATAAAGAATTTCATAGCTCTTTTCTGTTGAGTCGTGACGTATGTAGCGTTTGAGCTCCCCTAAATCGCTGCTCCTTAGTCAGCAGTAGACCAGACCATAGTGTCAAAAAGTTTCTTGTATGTGCTGTAGTGTATACCGCCCATGGACTTGAATTTGGATATTAATAAACCCAGTGCTCGATGCATTGGCAAAGTGTGCGCAGTCCAGGTGTTCTGTTATCAATAGGTCTAAATAACAGTAACTGTCCGCTAGTTCCAGGGACCTTGTGCCACTTTGAAAAGTACAAGTCGTTCTTAGTAAATGCACAGGTCTACAATGCAGTACTTTGAATTTATTATTGAGGCTATCCGTACACCAGTTATGTAAAACGTCTAAAAGCACTTTTACGTACGCTTAATCTTCATGTAACAAGACCGGGTCGTCTGTATAAGCTAATACAGCAATTGTTTCGTCATTAATCTACACACCGATATCAAGGCTGTTCAGGGTAGTGATCATCTTTGATGTAGACACTGAACAGCAGAGGGGAGAGAAGACACCCTTGTTTCAGACCATATCTGACGTTAAACCATTCCGTCATATTTCCATTGATTCTGACACAACCCTTTACGCTAAAAACGTAGATTTCTTAAGTGATGTCCCAGTGTCAACTATGGATGTCAGTGATGAAATGTGCTCCACTATAGATCTGCCCCTCCTGAAACCGTTTTGTCAGCTATACAGCCTCTGGTTTCTGCATACTTGTACAGTCTTGTGTTCAACACAGAACAGTAGAGTTTGTAGCTCGAGTTCGTGAGAGAAATCCCTCTATATGATAATTGGTCATACTTGTCAGCACACGATGACTTCGGGGTGGGTTTGATAATACTCTTACTCCACTCGCTTGGTATTTTCCCACTAGGGAAACACATATAAACAAGTCCATTGAAAATTGTATTCAGGTATTATTCTTCAAAACTGGTATTACCGCATCCTGGTGATTTTCCCTTTCTCGCCGATATCACTGCTTTATACACTTCCTCACATGTAAAGGGGTTATTAAGCTGAGATGTATAGTCGTCTACTTCGGTTACCCCCCTTGGTTCCTGTGTAGACGTATAATCCACATCAGAGTTCACATTATTTAACAAATTACTGTAACTTCCTTCCATGTATTTACAACAGTTCCCTTGTCACCAGACAACGTACCAACTCCAACTTTTTCGTTCTTCTATCTTTTCCAGAAATCCTCTATATTTTTCTCACAGAGACTTTCCAATTCAGATATAGACTTTCTTGGTTGTAGCGTTGTTTGCATCTTCTTGCTTCTTTATAAAATATGGAACTTTTCTTGACGTAATACTCGCTTAACTTTCGTGTAACGTTGTTATATCTACACCTTAGTTCAGCTTTACACATGTCATTTCATAATAAAGTTAGTTTATCAGTCTGCCAAGGTTTCTTCCGCAACGTCTTTCTCTTGTTCGGTCACAAAGTAAAAGTCACGTGTTTATTTGCCAGCGTTGAATCCATTTCTTGCTTAACGGTAGACAGGAAATTAGTGTAGGCTACATCCACATCTCACTGTTCACAGAGTGAGCATTCCAACTTGGATATGGTTTCGGGCACACACGTAACATCATGTTTCACACATTTCACACTTGATTGATCGCAGTCACAGAAGTGCTAATATGACGTTCCGGGAGAATTCCAAAGTCCATGATATTATGGAGTGGTCTAATGTAGTAATACTGAACTAAATCACAGACGTGTAACATTAAAATTAGAAATACGATTAAATTCTTCATATGCACATAAACAATAATCAACCACAGAGGCCCCTTTGCCTGAAATACAAGTAAAGTCATTTTGTGCATTATTTCTACCATTTACTATACAGAAATCTGTGTTTATCAAGAATTCAGCTACCGTTTAGATTACCACAAATATAACCAATATTATACACATGGTACTCAGATATCCGAAGCAGGAGATTGTCATAAAAGCCAGCTGCATCGCTGTTTCAGGTAGAACATTCTGAATGCAAAGAACATGCACATATGCAAAATAAGCATGAGCTATTGTGTTTAATTTCAACCACAAAATGCCTTCATTCACAACATCAAGAATAGTCACATTATATTTAACCAATAAGTCATTTTTTATTATGAAGCCCACGCCTCCAGAGCCTCCGTTGGCTTGCCAGTGCAGATAGTTTTTATTGTGTCCAAACCACGAATAGTCTTCCACAAATATAGATTGATTAAATTCCAGATGAGTTTCAACTACGCCAACAATGTCACAATCTAAATGAGAAACACAAGTTGATCTAACAGATGATCATTTGAATTACTGTCACTAGCCCAACCATTCAGTACCAAAGCCCGGACTTGTATTAATTTGAATAACTAGCCCTGTCTCTTCCAGTCACGTGCTCTCTTCCTTGTTCCCGCTCCTTGCTCCTCGTCGGATGATTGGCTCGCCCGTTGTCACGTGTTGTTTGTTGATAGTTGTTGGCACGTGTTGTGTGTTGATAGTCCAATCCACGTGCTGTGGCTGGGTCACTTCTTTCGTTCCTTCCATCCTGGCGTCAGTCATTTCGTTGTCGTTGTACACGTCCTCCAGTAAACTTCAAGTCTTCCTTTACGATAGCATCCACCATCATTTTAAAGTTGGATTTCAAGGACCGTTGCTGTTGACTTTTATCGGCTGCAATGTACACATTTCTGAAGTTTCTTGATTCATTCAGCTTCTTCTTCTCAGACTGAATCACATTCTTGTCGTCAATAGAACTAGATTTGGTGACGATGACACTGGGATACCTGCTATTTCTGGACACTTTCCTTTTTTGCACGTTTAAAACGAATCTCTCTTAACTTCATTTAGCAAACCATTAACCTTTATTAAAACATTTTCATTATTTGACTCTGGTACATGATGCAGCACAATATCGTGGGTAATGTCACCGTGTGCACCTTCTGCACACTGCTTTTCCAACTTTCTACATGCCTGTAAATGCGTGTCTAGCTCCTGCCTGGAAGCAGTTGTAGTCTCCTCTAACAGTTTATCACAACTCCTCACACTGTCCTCAACTGTATCCACTGTAGTGTCAAGTCTACATACTTCAGCTTCAATGGCTGATTCTAGGCTTGACGTAAACGTTGCTCCATTTCATCCTAAGCGTGCCTCTCAGGAAATATTTTACAACACGAGCGAGATGTGGACGTGTATTATCTTGCTGAAGTTACGTCTCTGTCCTTGAATGAACAGTTGCACATGAGGCCCAATGATCTCATCCCTGTATTGCAGACCTGTCAGATTGCCATGGACAATGACGAGTTGTGTCTCACCATGAAATGTGATGGCGCCCCATACCATAACCCTACCACTACCAAAATGTGGACGTTGAGCAATGCACGCGTCAGCATACCGTTTACCTCACCGTCTGCACATCCTTGCCCTGCCATCTGAGCTGTCGAGATGAAATCTCGACTCATAAGTGAACAAAATACCATCCCAATCTAATATTGTATCCTGTGTCATAGATGGAGGCACCAGGAGGCGTTGGAGCAAAAGAGGACATATGGCTGGAGGTCGGAGCCAGATGTTGTGCTCCCTCAGTCGAATCTGTACAGTCCTGAAACTGATTGCTCGTAAGCCAGGAATGGTTCGAGCAGTCAGACTGGCAGTCTGGAATCGATTCCTTAGATGGGTCAGCCGAAAGTGATTGCTGACGTGACGTCATGCGTGGAAGGTCAGTCCGAGGCAAATTTCTCGTGTTACCATTATGTTGAAAAAAGAAATGGTGGAGAACTAAATGTTGAATGGAAAATAAGGCTCTTCAAAACATCGAAAACGATGCCAACATTCAATATCATAATTGCTTAAAAAACTCTGTTCCTCAAGTACAGTAATTGAGTACAGTTGGTAGCCACGAAAACTACGGATCTGACAGGTTAGGTTTGAAAAGCCTTTGCTATCCAAAACTGATCTTTTTTTATATTTTAAAGGTAATCCTAATCCTGAAATTCAGAAGCAAAAGGTAGCCGCCTTGTGACTGGATGACAGTGGCAACCATCCTCCTTTTTTCCTGGTAAGCGATCAAGAGGTACTGGTTCCACTCCCTCTGAGGGTGCTACATTCTCTATGGTGGATCAGTTGTAGCGCCTGCATACGACGTCTAGGAATGTCCCAAACAACTGATTCAAATTTGTACTCATAGCAGGCAATATTTTAATAGCGTGTCCTCCAGAAATGCAGTTGCAGCTCGAGGGCGATGAGGTTTAGCGTTGTCATCCATAACCACAAATCGAGAAGCAAGCGTTAAGACATTGATATTAATCGCATCTGAAGTCCGAAAACGGCGAACAGCAGACGACACAATATCTGGGTGAAGTTTAAAGGCATTGTTACTTCTCTATACCAAACCAAAACGGGATCAGAACTCACCCTTACTGACCCTAATCTTAAATTTAAGAACTGTGATAAACACTGTCAATGGATGGATCACATACATTGCGGAGAAACAGCATTATGACTTAAATTGAAATAAGCCTTTTAGTCACATCGGCAGTATTTAAGTCACGTTGTGACTTAAAGAAGTTAAAAATTCATGATAATGTTTTTCAATAATCTTATTTTATGTATCAGAAATAATGAAAATATACCATTATACAACCGTAAGGCTGTTATTCTTTCAACCGGAATATTTCATCTGTTGTGATCAAGCAGGAATTGACAAGCCTTTTTGTATCACAGTGTAAGTATCAATACGTTCAGGTTTCAAAAGAACGCGTTTATACTATAGTACTGATTTAACATAGAATAACACAGTAGCTGTTCCTACCTGTATCCCAAGCTTCTCCAACAATAAAGTACGTCATGACATCATCGTCAGACTGGTATGGACTGGACCCAACTGAGGTGTCAGTACTGCTATCGGACATGTTGCTGCTGTCTGTGGAGTCAGGACCGTTGCACATGGTGCTGCTCATGATGTATGGAGTATAGCTGGTGATGCTACTTGAATACAGCTGGTTGTGCTGCTTGAGTATAGCAGACGTTGCTGCCTAAGTGAGCTGGCGGTACTGCTTGGGAACGGCTATAAGTATGGTTTGATATATCCACTGTAATGTGTTTCAACAGGATAGACGTTACCATATTATACCACGAAGATGGCACAATATGTATTCAAGCAGCATAAGATTGCATGATTCCGGCTATCGTACGAGTATGTGTCAATGAATATTTGGAAGATATAGCCACCGATAGGCAGAGAGTATCCTGTCCAAGCCGCCACAGGAAAGTTAACTATTTGAAGTCGTCCCTCTTGTCACACAGGTATTCAGAGAATTTGTCATCACCAAGAACCTCCGTGCATAGATTGAAACATAAAGCAGATGAAACCGATCCACTTGTCTATTGGATGTCTTGTTCAGAAGTGTTACTCTGTAAATCAGCGCAAGGGAACTGGTTTTTTGTTACTGAACTTAAAGAGATGTTACACTCAATGTACGAGTGTCAAAGAATTTCTGAAGCCACTCAATTTTGCTCATTCTTCGAACAATTCGGTCGTTTTCATCGAGTATGTATGATCTTGGCCCTTGCTTATCGTAGAAAACAACTCCATCGCAATATCGAATGGCTACTTCCAAAACGAATTGCTCAGATCGTAGGATATGGTGGAATGCTATGTTTATCAGGTCTCTAGTAGCATCTGTGAACTCTCCCTTCCTTGTCAGAACACACAGATCAGTCTCAACCTTCCTGTAGATACTCTCTATCAAGGATGCCTGACTCACGTGTAGCTTGAAACCAACAACTTCTGCAACTTTTGTTTGATAACCTCTCTGTGTGACAACTTTCCTTTCGTTAACTCCCAGGTAGTATGACCCACCTTGAACCAGCTTTGACATAGACGTTATGTTATCTTTCAGTTTAAGATTGTGCCAAATATGATCAGTCAGTTTTTCAACGTCGGTTTGTTTACGCTTAATCTCTTCAGTGTTGTCTTTAAACGCTTTCAACTGTATATGTCGATTCTCATGAAAAGTGTTCACATTTTGGGGCAGATTCCTGAGAGACGCTTGGTTCTTTTCCTTTGTTTCTGTTTTAGCCAATACTTCTGAGAGGATCGATGAATTTATGTCCAGGTTCTCATTGTCATTGTTTGCCTTCGTGTTGAAATCAACCGTAGCTAAACCTGTTGATTTGTTAACTTTAACTACCAGAAAATCCCACGCGTCCGTGAATTTCTGTTCATCGCTAAGAAAATATCTTTCATATGAGTCAGTATACAGTTCACCACCTTCCAGTAAGTTTGTAAAAGTCCTAACTACAAATTCATCAAAGTATTCGAGACACCTATCTTCTGGTGATGTCCCCGCCAGATGAACTAACAACACTCCCCCACTACTGTTACGTAACGCTGACACTGCCTTTGCTACTTTCTCCAAGACTGATGACTTCTCTTTGCTTTTCTTTCCCCTAATGGTGTTGTATTCTGCATGTAGCTGTATCAGTGGATGCCGTGGACCTTTCTTGTGTTCTGCTATGTACCTGCCTCCTACTGAGTTACACGCTGAACATATATCTGCAACTGAATATAGTCATAATTAGAGAGGCTTGATATTCAGTTTGTGTGATCTTTCAGCTTATAATTACGTAGGAGCCAAACATAACTTTTGGACATTCGGTGGCCAGTATGCTACTTCCAATATGTACCATATGAGAGGCAGTTTGAAAGAAAGCCTAAAACATTCATAGCACGATCTGTTTGATTGGCATTGTAAAAGTTGATGAGTAATAAGGAAGGTACGATACTTTCTGGATTACAACTTCTTTTATAGATTATGATGCGACGTTTTGGTATAGATTCTTATACCGTTGTCAAGCAGAATATGGTGAAGAATTTGTTATCCATAAAGTAGCATACAATTCATAGCTCTTACATCTTAAAATTAAAGCAGGGTCATACCTTTCAGCTCTTCTGTTCCATTCGGAATGCTGTACATGTCATCTGTGAAAAGTCAAGAGGTTCATGACACCTGAGCCTTTCTGTTGTATTGCATGTTAAGCAGATGTCGAAATTAATTAGCTGTAGATCGTAATGCTCTGATTATTCAGCTATTACCACTTCCAACTCATCACAAATACATACTATGGACGTTTCTGTTTCTCAAGAAGACTTTTATTAAGTGAGTAGAAAAGACAAAATCCTTCCCACATCCATACGGAATCACTGCTTAAAGCAGAGTCGATTGTACAGTTGTGACTGTATCATTAGCATATCTTTGTTCAGTAGTATTACAGCTGTATGGTGTTGTTTGTAAACAAATCGGGTCTGAACCAGACAATCCGATGACAGAGCATGTGTTTATGAATCACTAAGGAATAGTGATGATGCAGATGTACGCGGAAAGGTAAGCATATCCTACCCCACCGGTGGGACCCGTCCTAAACATATGTCTCCTAAGTCTAGTCAACTGTTCACCCGATTTCATTCAGGAACGAATGATATGTGACACTGGGTTGTCTGAGTTCAAAGAGACACATTTCTTGATAATTATCAACAATTATAAAGATCGTGAAGATTGAAAAATATATATTCAGTCCAATCAAAGATAGAAAACAGCAATCCATTGTGTTTTAAGGCGACGTATAACCCATACAGGGGTGAGCGAGTGAGTAACCCATATTTTGATATGCTTGCTAGAAGGCAAACATCTACACACGAACACCAGGCACTTTCATATATGATGAGTAGGTAAACATCACATTTCGTTGGATTATGCTTTGAAAACCAAATTAGACCCTGAATAAACAAAACAAAAACTGACATTGAAATTTCATTGCACTTGAACATATGATCCATAGCTTTTGAGTGAGTTTAGTTTTACGCCGCACTCAGCAATATTCCAGCCATATGGCGCACAGCTTTTGAGATACCGTGTGGAGAACGTGCTTTACATGTGCATTTTTATCAGTATGTTGGGGTATGCCCGCCTGTTAAGACCCACATTGTAAAAATTGTTCTTTCATTCAAGTGTTCCTATTTTAATGCTCTTGTGTATTTAATACTTTTGTTTGTTTGCCCCTTTAAATATAATTTTGTTCTGCAGTAAAAATACTCACCATGATTGGCACTGTTCATGTTTGTTCATGGTGATGGTTTACCTCAAGGCATCCTGAAACATGGACTGTTATTCATGCATTCATATCAAGGGTTACATGTTATGTAAGGTGATATTACAATAATGTGAAATCACGCCTGCCAATCCAGCACTAGTTTCAAAGAAGACGATAGTCGCAGAAGAGATGTAAGCATATTATTTTGGATTTGAAACTTTGTGTGGTCCCTCTGTGGAATAGTTATCTCATATTTTAAAGTTGGATCCAAACGCTATATTGCTTAAGTGTTCTGTTTCAACTTTAGACAAAAGGTAGTGTGAATACTGCAGCAATAGTAGTATGTTAAGTAGTGTGTCGGTATCATTCATGTTAAAATGTCAAAATACTTAACAATTTAGCTGACCTATAAAGATTTCCGAAAATGTATCACCTATAAATGTGACAATTATTACTTAAATTTCAGGGTTTAACAATTATACTACATTAGTTCAAAGAAAGGATTCAAAACACATATTTTATTTAGAAGTTGAAAACTCAAAACTAAGTAAAACATTATTTTGTTTTAACTTGGATTCAACATGTAACAGCTGTGATCCTGACACAGCGTTTCATTAATGGTTTCCTTAATTGTTCTGTCCCTGGTATGGTGATCTCCCTACAGTTGTTGGCGATCTACAGCCTGTTTTTATCTTGTATCGTCTTCAATAATTACACTGTTTTATTTATAATTGCTAGTTTTACATTTGTATCTGTGATACTCTAGTTGTTTACTGTCCTTCGTTGACAGCTGTTTATAATTTACTCTTAATTATTATAAAACTATCACTTGATGGCTGAAATAATGCCGATGAGACTTAACATTTTAACTCATTCACTCACTTAATTGTTCTAAAATAATTTCGTCATGTTTGATGAGCTGTTGTGACCCGTTGCCTGTGCCGTAACTATCAGAGCTATAGTCCTTTGGAAATAAAAATTGTTTTTTTCATGGACATGGATCCCCTTCTGCTACACAAAACGTTGCTGACTGACGGAGACGGTAATATATATCGATCATATGATACAATCATGAATAAATTGTTTAAAACACTTGATAATATTTTGTTTTACCTTGATCTTTGTTTGTTTCAATGTGAGAAGTACAACTCCGCCTCTGGAAATGTCCCCAGGAGTTTTATCAACGTTATCATCAGTATGCTATAGATCTGCCTTCGTAAAGTGTTGTGATCACGCTATCAAAACTGTTAGGGGACCAGCCAAGGACGCAATGTCGTCCCCACACAACATCCGATATCGTATTTCCTCTAGTAAACGCCCGGATATTTATTCATTTCGATGGAGCCTTTGACCAGGCCTCTATTCGCCTACACTGACACCTAATAGACAGTAAAATACGGCATACAGTCCTAATATTTACTGGATGGCGTGTGTGTGTTGTCGGTGTATTATTACGCATGGTTTCAGCATTTCAAAATACAAAAATAGAATTCATCGAAGAGTGAAGAACAATAAGTATCTAATAACTGGCCTTTATACTTCTGTTGGGTTAGAATACATGTTGGTAACTGTCAGTCAGACAGACAGACAGACACGTTTATTCAGTAAAAGACCACAGGCTATTTGCATATGGTATTGAAAATTAGTGCACATGCTGTTTAGGTGGAGCATTTCTAATGTGCTGGAGTACACAATACAGAAAAATACTAATTGGCATTTGGATCAAAATCAGTCAAATATTTCTGAATATATCTTAACCTTAAAACAGAAAAACGTTCACACTTAAGGAGTACATGAAATTCATATTCAAAAACATTTTTGTCATTCAATTTACAAATGGCGAAACTCTTGCCAAAAATTCATCATCGGCAAATTATGTCCCTGAGTTTCAGAGATATCAGAAACAACAGGAAAAGACGAAACTTAATTTTGACTCGCATAACGGTGAAGATTATAATGAAGTGTTTTCATTACATGAGCTACATACTGCTCTTGAGCAAGCTCATGACACTGCAGCGGGTGATGACAATATACATTACCAGCTACTGAAACACTTACCGGAACCGTGTCTGATGACACTTTTAGATATCTTTGACAAAATATGGACGTCTGGAGAATTTCCTCCTTCATGGTGTAATGCCATTGTAGTCCCAATACCAAAACCTGGCAAGGATCATACCGATCCGTCTAATTACAGACCGATCTCTCTAACTAGCTGTGTTTGTAAAACCATGGAACGTATGGTGAATAATAGATTAACTTGGTATCTTGAAACCAATAACCTTATAAGCAATATTCAATGTGGTTTCAGGAAAAATCGTAGTACCATTGATCATTTGGTACGTTTAGAATCCTTTGTTAAGAATGCTATAGTAAATAAACAACATGCTGTCTCAATTTTCTTTGATCTCGAGAAAGCTTATGATACGACCTGGAAGCATGGCATTTTGAAGGATTTACATGACTTTGGTTTGAGGGGCCGTTTGCCTCTTTTTATATCACGGTTTTTAAAAGACAGACAATTTCAAGTCCGAGTGGGTTCAACCCTGCCTGACCATTACAATCAGGATCAGGGTGTCCCTCAAGGCAGTATTTTGTCTGTCACTTTATTTAGTATCAAGATCAACAGTTTATCCAAGGTTTTAAACGATTCAATCGATGGATCGCTTTTTGTGGATGATTTTAATATTTCTTGTCGTGGTAAAAATATGCATACCATTGAACGGCAATTGCAGTTGTGTTTAAATAAAATAAATAAATGGTGTCTTGAAAACGGTTTTAAATTTTCCAAATCCAAAACTAATTGTCTACACTTTTGTAGAAAATATAAACCGCATAAAGATCCAGAACTATCTTTAAACGGCACACCCATCAAAGTTGTTAAGGAGGCCAAATTCTTGGGTCTAATTTTCGACTCCCATTTAACTTTTTTGCCACATATTAAATCCCTTAAAGCTAAATGCCTGAAGGCACTCGATTTGTTAAAAGTTGTTTCCAACTCAAAGTGGGGAGGGGATCAAACTACGCTCCTTCACTTATACCGATCATTGGTACGATCTAAACTTGATTATGGTTCGATCGTATATGGCGGAGCCTGCAAAAGCAACCTTAAACTACTTGATTCTGTTCACCACCAAGGTCTAAGACTTTGTCTTGGATCATTTAGAACCTCTCCAGTTGATAGTCTCTATGTTGAGGCTGATGAGCCTTCTCTTTCCCAACGCCGTATTAAATTATCTTTACAATATATTACCAAACTATATTCTAACGAGTCTAACCCTGCATTTAACTGTGTCTTCAATCCTCTTTATGAGGATTTGTATAACAAAAAGCCTTCTCTTGTTCCGCCTCTTGGGCACAGAATTAAACCATTCCTTTCTGCTGCTGCTATTGAGCTCGAGAATATATCTCCTTCTCGTCTTCTTTCTTCTCCTCCTTGGCAATTGGTGAGGCCAGAAGTTGACTTAACATTAACCACATTTTAAAAATCCGAAACTAATGATTTACAGTATAAACAAGAATTTAGTCAATTAAGAAATAAATATAATACCTATAAATCCTTATATACAGATGGATCCAAGGATGGTGGCGCGGTTGCTTGTGCCACTGTCATTGGGTCCAAAACAATATCTTCCAGACTACCCAATGACAGTTCAATTTTCACAGCAGAAGCAAACGCAATACTAACAGCTCTTAAATATATTAATAAACACCGTAAATATAAACAATATATAATCTTTTCAGATTCTCTTTCGTGTCTTCAGGCTATTAAAAATCTTTCTTGCAAACATCCACTTTTATTAGAAATTATTGAATTGTACAATGAACTTGCTACTGGCCAATGCGACATCGTCTTTTGTTGGTTACCCAGCCACGTTGGCATTTCTGGGAACACAATGGCTGATATTGCTGCTAAGGCAGCACTCAACAAATCTGTGACACAACTTCTGATCCCATACTCTGATTACAAAGCTGCTATAAGATCTTATATCCGTGATCTGATGCAAAAGAAGTGGGATACCCAAGTAGGTATCAATAAATTACATGAAATAAAACCCTATATCGGTTACACTTACTTGGGTTGTCAGTCCAGATTTGAAGAGGTCATTATGCGACGATGTCGTATTGGCCACACAAGATATACTCACGAATACCTATTGAAAGGTGAGGATCCTCCACTTTGTATCCCTTGTGATGAAAGAATCACGGTCAAGCATGTCTTGCTTGACTGTGTTGAGTATTCCATCACAAGGGATAAATATTTTAAATCACGATCTATGAAGGATCTTTTTAATAGTATCAGTTCTCATTTAATTATTGCATTTTTAAAGGAATTAGATTTGTTAAATGATTTGTAAATACATAAATATTTTAAGATTGGAAGTTTGAATTAGTAACTAAGATTGTTAGTGGCTGTATCCTCGAGGGGGGTTAAAGTACTGTAGAATTATTGTCCTCCTGAGAGGGTATGTAAGTCCCACAACATTCGAAGTAAATTAAAATGTTCCCCTTTTTTAATCGTAGAATACCTGTTCTTTTAATGTATGGCTAATTTTGCTAAATTGCTAACGGCTGAAGGGATGGTGTAAATCCAGCTAGTGTCCATGCAGGAAGCAAATGTACTGTAAGTCCCCATGGTCCCTAGTATGGTGATCTACCTTCAGTTGTTGGCGATCAATAGCCTGTTTTTTATATTGTATCGTTTTGTATAGTTCAAATGTTTTAGATTTAGTTACTAGTTTTATCTATATCTGTGATACTCTAGTTATTTTACTGTCCTTCGTCGGCAGAATTTTATAATTTCACTTAAATTGTTGATATATTTATAACTTGCTTTAGTCACGATATGGCTGAAATATTGCCGATGTGACTTAAAATCTTAACTCACTCACTCACTCTTCTCCTCCTTGGCAATTGGTGAGGCCAGAAGTTGACTTAACATTAACCACATTTAAAAAATCCGAAACTAATGATTTACAGTATAAACAAGAATTTAGTCAATTAAGAAATAAATATAATACCTATAAATCCTTATATACAGATGGATCCAAGGATGGTG